GGAGGACTGGCATGGATGTTAGCTCAGGGCTGATCTTCCTCACACACACAGAAACACACTAAATTAATTAATTAATTAATTAATTAAAAAAAGATAAAGATGTATATTTGCAAAACAAATATTACAAATCTGATAAGCAAAAGTTGACTGCCTATTAGCCATAAAACTTCTGGGAAAAGAACTGATTAATAAAAGGGGTCCTTGTACAAAATCATAAAGGAAGCTGTGTATATGTCAATATTTAAGAATTATACACATAAAAACCCAAATCATGATGCAACTGAGATTTAAATTGATGACAAATGCCCCAAATTTACATAAAAACCTCAAAAATTAATGGAATCTGAGCCACTGGGAGATAGTCAATAATTCTTCTAATAATGTATGTCCTCTTTACTCATTATTGTTTGCTAAGATTTGGGTTGAGCAGTATGACACAGCTGACATGCAAATTAATAATTTTATCCACATCTTGATTAACATTTTATACCTTCGTGAGTTTAGTTCTGAATAGAAATAAGGATGATTTTCCACTAGGGGGACAGAATTTAAATGACTTCAGTAAAATTAAACGAAATGGAACAATTTCTCTTTGTTTCTGGCTGACTCAACAGTCATTAGTTAAATTATTTATTTAAAAAATATTATTCAAAGGTTCGCAGTATTTCTACAATGATTTGATAAGGTTCAAGCTTACACGACATCCATTTTAAAAATACCTGATTTTGCTTTCAGTTAGTTCTTTCAGAACCTTTCTTCTTTGCTTAGTCCCAAGTACGCTTCACATATTAAATGTGTAAAGTTCATCTGTACATACTCATTCACATACATTTGGATGTACTGAATTCTAAATTTTTTAAAAAATCTATGTTTAGAATGAAGACAAACTACTATAAATAAATATGCAAAAACAAACAAGTAAATAAAACTTTCAGAGCACAGAGCCTAGTTTGGGCTTTACAGAAAGAACAAAGTTAAATTTTAAGTTAACTGTATATATCTCTCACAAAAGAAAAATGTCATCCAGATTTTTATTTTGCCCATTGATGTTTCCAGTACAAATAGTGTTTCTCTAAAGGTAATAATATTTTAGCAATATAATATCCTTCCACAGAACAATGGATAAAAACAGCAGGATCATTTCATAGGAAATTCCCATTACCAGTTCTTCATACGGTTTTTCTTGAAGGTTAAACCCCAAGCCAAACCAATCGTCCTTAGGAAAGTAAAGCCAAATTACAGTTTATGACTGCATGTGTTACATGCTATTCCTTGGCCATGCCTGCTTTTTATAGACATCCTAAGTGCAATTTCACTGAGAGAAGAAAAAAACCTAAGAGAACGTAATCTATATTACAATAAATAGATTAAAATGATTTCTTTTTCAAATAGGTTGGATTTCTTTTCCAAAATAATTATATAGTAAGATTTTCATATTGGTTTAGTAAAGAGCCTCAATGCCTTATTTTCTCATCCACTCGGCAGATGCAAGGAAATCTCCCGTCTTGCTTTTGCAAGGGTAACGTAGGGGAAGGATATACAACACAAATAACAGTCTTACTAAGCTATTTTGTTATACTAGACCATTTTCCAAAATACATTTCTGAATTCTACCCTCAAATATAAATTATGTGAGAATGTAGAAAACTCTGTCAGGCTAAACTTCTACGTTAGCAAAAAAAGGCGGGGGGTGGGGGTGGGGGAATAAATAAACCAGAATCACAACTATTTAAGTGATAAGGTACTACTTATATCCTATATGTATTAAGAGTACAAAGACTTTCATCAGCCTAATAAAGATAACATTGTGTCTAATGATGTGAAGATCAGCCAAAGACCAGGTTGTGATCAAGTGATTGAAGTAAAACTTCAAAAGAAGAGAGAGAGAGAAAGGAAGGAACGAAAAGAGCAAGAGAGAGAGAGACAAATCCATGGAATGGGAGAAAATATTGGCAAATCATAAATCTAATAAGGGACTTATAACCAGAATACATAAAGAACTCTTATAACTCACTCATAAGAAGACAATGTAATCAAAAGATAGGCACAGGATTTGAATGGATATTTCTCAAAAGAAGATATACACACTGCTAATAAGCACATGAAAAAAACTTCATCATTAATCATTAGGGTAATGCAAATCAAAACCACAATGAGATACTACTTCACACACCCAATAGGATAGTTATAATGTTTTTTAATGGAAAATAACAAGTGTTGGTGAGCATGTGGAAAAACAGGAATCTTTTTACTTGGCTGGTGAGATTGTAAAATGTTGGAGCTGCTCTGGAAAAAAGTTTGGCCACACCTCAAAAAGTTAAACCCAGAGTTACCATATGACACAGCAATTCCTCTTCCAGGCAGTTGCCCAAGCGAAATGAAAATGCATGCCCACACAAAAACGTGTACACAAATGTTATTTAGCAGTATTACTCATAATAGTTAAAAAATGCAAACAACGTAAATGTTCATCAATTGATGAAAAGAAAAAATAGAGTATATTCTTACAATGAAATATTACTTGGCAATAAAAAGGAAAGAAATGTTGATACATGCTACAACACAGATTAATGTTAAAAAAAATTATGCTAAGTGCAAATAAGGCAGTCACAAAAGGCCACGTAACATGATTCCATTATATGATGCAAATTAGGCAAATTCACAGTGACTGTGAACTGGGAGGAGGGGAAGAGTAACTGCTAATGGGTATGGGGTTTCTTTCTGGGGTGATGAAAATGTTTTGAAATTACCCTGTGGTGACAGTTGTACAACTCTGAATATACCAAGACTCACCGAACTGTACATCTTAAAAGAGTGAATTTTATGGTATATGAATTATATCTCAAGAAAGCTGTTATTTTAAAACGAAAAAAAAAAAAAAACAAAAAAACGAATAACTGAAAAGCATAATTTTGAATCAGGAGATGAATATTTTATTAATAATACCATGACTGTGTTATTAATAGGAAAATCATAAATCAAAGGTTTCCTTTGGGGATCTTAAGGTTGACACTAAAATTGGGAAAGCATGTTTGTAAAGAAACTTAATTCTAGGAAGTTACAGGGTAAAGGCACAGTACCTCAGGCTTCTGGAAGCTTTTCCCAAAACATATGACTTTCTTGAGAGGGACTAAAATGAAACTGAAATGTGCCACAAATTTCTGCTCCTACATGCTCTGCATGTCTGTTCATCCTTGCCCATGTTTCTACTCCTGGCCGACTACGTTTGAATCATGAACTCAAAAGCTTGACACCCAAACTCCCTTTAACCAATAATAGCCCAGATTAAATAAATACTGACTCTAAAATTACAGAACATTAGAATGTTAGAATTATACATAGGGCCTCATATCATTATGTCCCTCTCCTCTCAATCCATTCCAGTTAGGCTCATGTATTCCAGAAATGCAAGTCATCCAATTGTTTCAAATTTTAAGAGAAAAGACCAAATACTTCTTCTAGAAATGTTACTTTTTAAAAAACTTATTTTAAACTGCCACACCAACTAAAATAAATAGAAATGCCAGGCTGGTTCAGACAAATAAATAATAAGGGGAAAACATTAGGTCTATTGTCATTCTATGCCTAACCCAACATCATTTTGGCTTCAAACAGCAACCGAATACCTTGATAGTGATAGCAGAGCATTAAAAAAATCTTTCAAAAATAACTTTACTATATAAAAATTCAGCTTAAGAGCAGAAACAAGCCTTAAATCTAGCCATGAAATATTAACAGCACAATCCTACAGCTGTCCTCTCAGCCCTGAGGTAAACCAACTGGATGGATGGCCTTAATTCAGATGAATTTCCTTTATAGTAGCACCTAGATGTAATACATTTCATTATTTCTATCTTTCTGAGAATAATAAAGGCCTGAATTCTACCAAACGGCCTATGGTTTTAGAAGTGCTGACGGCGCAGAATTTTTTGATATATCTGGATGAGGGACTTGCTGTCACCTCATGTGCCATACCTGGTATGCACTGTGCCGTGGCCTCAGTGGTTATGGTTGGAGCAACTGGGGGCTGCTGCTGACTGGAGCTCACTTCTGGCTCTGTATTAACGGAGGGAGAAAGGGCTACCTCACAAGAGGAGACCTGGCTGGGCAGATGGGACAGGAACTCTTCAGAAGCAACTTGCTCATCCTGTCCAGGCAGCTGCAGGGCAGACAAAGGGATGCTGATCTGTTTGTTAGCATGGGATGTGCTCACAGGCATCTGCATGGCCACCTGCTGGTTGGCGCCATGGGCACCAGGGGGTCCTCTGTTTGGTGAAGCCAGAGATACCCTGGCAGTCTTCTGGAGGATTGGTCTGGACATCACAGAGGGGGATGCAGACACACCATGTGGGTCTAGCTCTGTGCCAATGGCAGATGTCACGTGGGGAATCAGCTTAGCAGACCCTACACAGGAGGGACCAGCATGAGTCTGAGGCTTGGGTTTTGCCATCTGCGTCAGCGATAGAGCTGGTCCATCTACCCCTCCGGTCAGCTCTGCGTTTGCCACAATGTAATAATCTTCGGGAATCTCTTGTTTGATTTTCTTAATGATGACATCATTGCTGCATTCATCAACCATCTGAGCCTGGGAGCTTGAATGGAGAGAAGATGGGATTATTCCATGCCTTTTTCGAGTAATGCTTTGAGGCCTTTGGGTTTGGGGTTCAAAGTCACTGTCCTCATCTGTAACAGAAGACTCACAAACCATGTCAAACAGGGTGTTTTCATCTTCATATTCTTCAACAGCCTCATCCAGTTCCGATGGCTCACTGCAATAAGAGAAGTCACAAGAGTCTCTGGTCCGATTACAGTCTAGCTTTGCTTTCACTGGTCTCCCAGGGTACCTTTCAACGGGGCTAGTTTGTGTCTCAGAGGGCACTCCAATTATACTGGGACTATCAGAGTTAAAACTTCTGTTATCTTGGAAACAAACCCTTTCTTGGGACCCAGCTCTGCAAGTGGCTGTCAGTGGCCAGTGATAAGCATGGCCAGCACTACAGCCCCACATTGCTGTCAGGTTCCCATGGGAACCCTCCGAAAGCAAGTGTTTCAGGTTTGGAATGAGGCTGCAAATGGTCCCATGGCTGTGGGCCCAGCTGACCAATTTGGACAGATTCTCAGATGAGGTATGAAGGCAATCCTCCATGTTACAGGATCAGCAGAGTCTTTCCTAAAGGGAAATAATCAAAATAAGAAGCCATTATTACCTAAGATATTCCCATATCTCAATTACTTCAATTTCCTTGAACTATGATCATCTGGCATTAAAAAAATGCACTTCAAAACCGTATCTAGTTTATATCACTGCATATGGGCAGGGACTAGAAAAGAATACAGGTAAAAAAGTAAAAACAGCTGATGCCTTATGGCTGGGGTATTTGAGAAAATTTTTGTTAGTTTCCTTTACTGTAGTAATAATGTTTGCATAAGAAAAAAAGAAGAAAAGAAAAAAAAAGAAACAAGCAATAAAAAAGAGGTGAGGTTTTTCATGGTACATTTTACTTTCAAAGTCACAAAGAGAGAGGTTCAGTCAGCCCCTTAATAATAAAATGTGTATATTATTTGTGTTAGCCAAGAAGATACACTTCTAACTTCACTCTCCACCATCAGAAACTTCATTACTAAAGGCAGAGCCAACAAAGGCTTAGACCCATTCTAGGATGGATGTCAGAGGAGGGCCGTCAACCCAGTGCGGGGCACCAGAAGACAAAAAACGACAACTGGGAGTCCAAGGAGAGAAAAAGGCGCTAAATCTGGGAAGTGGGGAAGAAAAGTCTTTAGCAGAGAAGGGAGAACAGATCGGGAGGAGAGCCACTAGAGGGCCCCTGCTGGGTCAGGGGTGCAGGCAGGCTGTAGAGCAGAAGCAAGGATGGGTAGGTTGAGTGCCAGCAGTCTAACCACCTCTTTGCTGTGTGAAATTCCTGAAATACTGCCTTTCACCTCACAATTAGAGGTAAAAGATGTGTCTGGTGTATTCCACCACCTGAGCTTCCTGAACACCCAAGGACAACCAACTACTAAATAGGAGTAAATCATTCTTTATTGGGCAGAGGTCAAAAAGAATCACTTGTTATGGATCCTTGACTGGGTAAGTCAGGACATGATGGAAAAGTGAAATAGGGCATGTAGAGTCCGCATGTGAGTAGAAAGGTCGAGTAAGGCTCTGCCAAAGAGGACATCCTGGGAGAACTGGGCAGGGAGAAACGAGGATCTTGATATGTGGTTTAGTCTGCCCTGGTCATGTGCTGTTGGAGGTGGGCCCTACACTTAGGCACCAAGATCTAACTGTAACGCCAGGTGACCACGTGAAGGGCACATCTGAGCCTCAATTCACTGCCCTGCCTCCATGACACCTCATCAGCAGAGTTAGGTAAATTCAAGTCCTTTAACGTATTGTGAGGCCTCTGTGATGCAGCCACGGCCAAGGTCAGCCTCTCAAACCTCATTTCCTACTACCATGGCCTTTCCCCACATTTCTTATGGTCCCCACGTCTCTAAACACAAGCTTCTCACTCCCAGTCGGCCTCTAAAAACTCATTCTTTTTTTTTTGCTGAGGAAATTCGCCCTGAGCTAATATATGTGCCAATCTTCCTCTATTTTGTATGTGGCTCGCCACAGCACGGCTGACAAGTGGTGTAGGTCCACACCTGGGATCTGAATCCATGAACCCGGGCCATCGAAGTGGAGCACACCAAACTCAACCACTAGGCCACGGGCCCGGCCCCCTAAACACTCATTCTTTAGCTTGATACACAGTCCTCCTCTTTCTTCACCTGGAAAATCTGCTCAAGACTAAACTCAGGACCACTTCCAGTTGACATCTTTCCAGACCCTCTTTAGCCTCAGAGGTTTATTTAGATTTTCTTCATCTGCACCTCCATCACCTCTTGAGGCACTCTGCCTTTGCTGTACTGACATTCTTGTCTATCTCCCAGACTTGACTGAGGATTCCCTGAGGATAGGGACTATGATATAATTATTCATTCATCAATGAGGACCTACTTGGGGATACAGAAATTAATAAGACATGGTCCTGCTCTTCGACCTTATAATCTATTGCTGGTGTTGAATAAATGAATAAATATATAAATAATGGCAGCACCATCAACACTAACAAAGCGAACATATAAGTCCCTCAAATAAGAAATATGACGTTTCCTCCAGTCACTTTTATTGTAATCATTCAAGGGATTAGAAGATCTTCTCTCCAGTGGTGTAACCAAAACACAGCTGTCTTGTGTATACAGGAGAGTAATACATAAGCGACCAGATTTTATGAAGCAGCACAGTAAATGGAAAGCACAGTGACTGGTGTGGGGTTCAGGAACTTCAAATTCTAGTCCTGGAACTGAGGTCTATGGCCTCTGACAAGTCACTCATTATCTCAGTCTTAAAGTGACAGGACTATATGATCTTTATGTTTCCTTCATACTCTAGCAATTTATGGACTTCTTTCAAACAACTCTGTTTAAAGTAGAAATGTAGATAAAAGAGAAAGACTGGTTTCATCTGTTTGTTTTTTGAGCTTTCTTAACATATCTATTTAACTGGTAGGGCAAAGAATGCTATCTGCCTACCCCATGTCCACTCTCTCTTATTCCTTACAGAGAGTCCCAAATTGTTGGCGGAAGCAATATGCTCACCTAAAACATATTTCCCAGCTTCCCTTGAAATAGGGGTGGCCACAGGACACAGTTCTGGCCAATGATATGTACATGGGAGTCACCAGGTGGGGCTTCTGGGGAAGCCCTTCGAAACACAAACTTGTCTGATTTTTGCCTTTTTGCTCTTCCTACCTAGAACAAGGACATGATGACTGGACTCCAGAGGCCATCTGAGAGCATGGAAAAGAACTTAAGGACAGGAGAGACTAGCCAGAAGGAGCTTGGGTCCCTGATGACATCATGGAGCCACGACATCAGCTCTGACCTACCTAGGATTCCTTGTTATGTAAGGGAAAGATAAGCCGGATCTTGCTTACGCCACTGTTGTTGGAGTATCTGATTACATACAGCTGAACTCGATTACTAACTGATACACAAAAAATAATACATTCATCTCTGGTTTTTGAAACCTTAGAACAGAATCCTTCATTTTTTCTGCAACATAGCCCAGTACAATTGTTTCTCAGATTGGATTCCACAAATAAATTCTTGGGAGGTCTATAACTGTATGTCAAAGTGTTTATAATTGTTTTTATTTTAATCATAATAAAAACTCAATTAATATAAGCATATTATGAATCATCTAAATAATCACCTTATATCCAAGTATTGCTGTGTAATTTCGGCTCTCCTTTGCCCTTGTATCTATACTCACATTAGTGTCCATAATCATCTAAAGTGACATCACTCAATTTCCAATTCGTTAGGAAACCTGTTCATACTGTATTCTCCTTAGCAGATATAAATACAGAATTTCTCTTTTGCATTAATAAATTTCAAATGAAAGGCAACATGATTTGACATCATGAAAGCAGCACATGTGATGAAGCAATATACCACTTTCAGTGTCATAAGCTAATGAGAAAATAAAAAGGAGTTGAAATAAATCATATACATTCAGAGAAAGAAAATCAAATACATTATGGCACAATATTTTAATAAAGATGTTACAACAGTTAAAATATGTAAAAACGTGGCAGAATCAAAACACAATTTTGTATAAGAATGTGGAACTCAAAGAACATATTGTCCACATAAAAGCTACTATATGGCAGTAAAATAATACCTTTCCTGAAGGCCCCAAAGCCAGAAAAAAATTATCATTAAAATAAATAAAAGAGGGGGCCAGCCCCGTGGCGTAGTGGTTAAGTGCTCGCACTCCGCTGCTGGCGGCCCGGGGTTCGGATCCCGGGCGCGCACCCAGGCACTGCTTGTCAGGCCATGCTGTGGCGGCATCCCATATAAAGTAGAGGAAGATGGGCACAGATGTTAGCCCAAGGCCAGTCCTCAGCAAAAAAAAGAAAAAAGGATTGGCACGGATGTTAGCTCAGAGCTGATCTTCCTCACAAAAAATAAATAAATAAATAAATAAAAGACAAAGTGGATAAAATTTTAAATTTTGTTAAAACCTTATCTACTTAATTTTATAATAATCATCAACCTTTAACAATCAACAAGTAGTAATCATTAAGTCCCTTTTACTACATTCTGAAATTCTCTAGCAATCTCATGAAGAGGCTCTTAAACTTTTCTTGAGTACCATAAAATGAAAATATTTTTCTAGTATTATTATTAATATAATTCAACCAGGCAACCAATGTTAACTGGTAGTTATGAGAGCATAATTAGCTGATATTTAAGGTAATTGAATGGATTGAATTCAAGCTGAAAAGGAATAGCTATCAATATACAGCAAGATATTCTAAGTTATATACAAAATAGAATCAATGGTAAGACAAAGTATTTTCAAATTGTTGAGAAGAAGTAGTTTCCAGAATCTACTGATTTCCTTCATCAATCTGATGATAAGCGCTATGCTGAAAAGTAATGCTTTTTCTACATTTTCAAGAATTGAAAAATAACTTCAGACAGTATTCTCCCATATCTGATATGGGCAATGACTGGATCAGACACTCAGCTTTTACGGTGTTATCATGTGACACTTCATCAAAAACTGAAACTCAAGGAGTCCTCCCTAGCAGAGTTTAGATTAAATATAAGATCTGATTATCCTAAATTAGCAAACAAAGCTATATCATTATTATCACCACATTGTATGTTAACTTAGGAAAGCAGATGATCTATGAATTAGTATTTATATTATTAAAGTCAAAATCAGAAACACTTTAAATATAGATTAAGACTTTCTACCACTAAACCCAACATTGATCATTAGGTTTCAGCAGAATAGAATATAAAACTAACTATTATTGCAGCTAACATTTTTCAAACAATTATTGTTTGCCAGGCACTGTTCAAGGACTTGACATATCAATAATCCTAATTCTATCAACAATCCTAATAAATTAGGTAAATTATTATCCTCATTTTATAAACGAGTAAACTCATTTCACTTGGACAAAGTAAGGGTGGAGCCAAAATTTCAACCTCTGTCTTACTCCAGAGCCCAGGCTCTTAATTAACATACTACACTGTCTCTAGCATCGTAATAGTAGAAAGATATTTGTCTCAAGTCTGGTTCCCTATCACATTAACATTGTTAATT